TGACATCTTCCCAGAGCTGGTCCTCGGGTCCATGTTCCCTGCCCACCAGCACTGGCCCTGGGACATTAGAGATGGTTTCCTCTGGAATCTAAGAGCTGTATGTTAGTCATGAGGCCTGAACTCTGGGCCTGGGCGCTGTCCCTCAGCATTTCAGCTCAAGGTTAGTGCTCTACCACTTGAGCCACACCATCACTTCTGGCTTTTTTCTGCTTATGTGGTGCTGAGGAATCGAACTCAGGGCCTCGTGCATGCAAGGCAAGAACTCTACCACTGAGCCACCTTCCTAGCCCAAGAATATATTTTTTGAATGGTGAATAAATTAAGGTTTTCTCAAAGCAGTTCTAACATGTGTCTGACCTGAACAATAGAGTATGTGACATTTCCTGGAAATTCCCATGCTATGTGTTGAAAGATCAAGTTCAGAATTAAGACCATAAGGTGCCTCTTAAACCTCTTTTGCTGTTTAATAGCCATACCTTAAAATTCATCCACTTAGAGTTACCATTCAGCAGGTTTTCATGGATTCACAGAGTTGTGTCCCTATCACCAGAATCTGATTTTAAAACATTTTTAATGCCTTAAAGAGAAACCCAGAACACATGAGCAGTTCTCTATTCCTTTCCTGTCCCCTGCAGCTGTCAACTATAAATCTGCTTTCTGTCTGTATTTGCCTATTGAAGACACTCTGCATCTCTGAGGTCATATTATATGTGATCTTTTTTGACCAGTTTCTTTCATTTTGCATAATATTTCTTTTTCTGTATTTTACCCATCCTGAGGCTTGAACTCTGAGCTTAGGCACTATCCCTGAGCTTTGTGCTTAAGGCTAGTGCTCTACCAAGTTTTCTTGGCCACATATATTTTCATTTTTCCTATTTACATAAACAGGAGTGAAGTCCCTATGTTATATTGTTTTGAGGAACCATACAACAATTTTTTCTATGTGGCTACACCATTCTCCCCTCAGCCATGTATGAGAATTCCAACTTCTCCCCTTCTGTCTCTGGCTAGGGCTTGTTGTCTTTTTCCTTAAACCTTTCAAGAGCCTATGAAGCATCTTTGTGTTATAGTTTTGAATTGCATTTTCCTGATAACTAATAATGTTCTTTTCATATGATTATTAGCCATTTGGACATCTTTAGGGAAATATTGGTTCAAATCCTTTTCTAAGTTTTCATCTGGACATTTGCCTTTTTATGTTGAGTTGTAACTTTCTTACATAGTCTAGATTTAAACCCTTAAATCCTCAGTTTTGGGGGGTTTGAACTCAGGACCTGGGCACTGTCCCTGAGCTCCTTTGCTCAAGGCTAGTGCTCTACCACTTGATACACAGCTCCACTTTTGGTTTTCTGGTGGTTAATTGGAGATCAGAGTCTCCTGGAGAGCACTGGTGGCTCAGGCTGGTGGCCTGTAATTCTAGCTACTCAGGAAGTGGGAATCTGAGGACTGTGGTTTGAAGCCAGCCTGGGGAAGAAAAACAGTTAAATTCTTGGGCTGGGAAGGTGGCTCAGTGGTAGAGTGCTTGCCTCACATGCATGAGGCTCTGGGTTTGAGTCCTCAGCACCACATAAACAGAAAAGGCCGGAAGTGGCGCTGTGGCTCAAGTAGAACCCTAGTCTCGAACTGAAGAGCTGAGGGACAGTGCCCAGGCCTAGAGTTCAAGCCCCACAACCGACAAAAAAAAAAGCCTCATGTGCTTTGCTGTCTGGGCTGGCTTTGAACTATGATCCTCAGATCTCAGCCTCCTGAGTAGCTAGGATTACAGGCGTGAGCCACCAATGCCTGGCTGAGATATTCAGTTTTGTTCCACAAACTTAATAATGTTTAGGATATTCTACTTTCTAGGATAGAAAACTATTTTACATATATGCACATATGTGTGTATATACATAAATATCTATATGTATGATGTTTTTGCTAGTTTAATTTTGTCTTAACCATGCCAGTGGTTTTCTCAAAAAAATACGTGATGAATATTAAATTGAAAAATAGTTCCACAATGGGTTTGCCCTGTCAAGAACTCTCTGAATCACAAGGAGACAGAATTACTTCACTGTTTTCACACTGTATGAATAGAAGATCATTTTTTTTAAATAAAATGTTGGCAGAATTTGAATATGGACTGTCGATGAGGTCACAGTATTATGTCAGTCCAAGTTTCCTGAGTTTGATAATTATATTGTATTGTGTGTCAGAATGTTCTTGTTTTAAGAAAATTCACATGAGTGGGTTCTGTGGTGAAGGGAGGGATGTTTTGTGTCCAGTTTACTCTCCCTAAATGGTTCTGGAAAAAATGCTAATGTTGATTTATAGATAGAAAAATAGTGATCAAATATGTAGGATTAAATGGTAGCAATTGAGTGAGGATATGGTGGAATTCTTTCAAATATACTTACCACTTTTCCTCCAGGTTCAAGTTCAGTCAAAATAAAAGGCCAGGAGTGTAGCACAGTTATACAACATATACTTAAGGTTCACAAGTCAAAGAAAAAGTACTTCCTCCAGAATATGTGTGTGTGTGTGTGTGTGTGTGTGTGTGTGTGTGTGTGTGTGTGTGTGTGTACATCAAACAGCCTTAGAAGGCAAATGAATTTTTTATTAATTAATAAGTTTTTTATTGTGAAAACACCATACAGAGGGGTTCCAAGTACATGAGCAAGGTAGGCAGATGAATTTTTTAAATCATAAATAAAACTAAAAAGAGGAAACTTCCGTTCTGAACTTGCTCAAGTAAATTCTGTTTACAAAATAACCCAGAAGTTATTAGAGAATTTCTTTAGTTATATGAAATATGAATCCCTCCCCTGCAAAAAAAAGTGGAATAAAATTGGAAAGTAGTGCTACAATTCCACACTTTCTGAGCCCATTGTTTCTTGCTTCGGTGTTCAATTAGATAAAGTATTTCTTTCTCACACAAGGCTTAACCAAATAGGAGCCTTTTAAAGCCACAAGAGGTAGGAACCACATCTTCACGGTGGGAAAGCAAAAGCCAATCAACATTACTTCATCCTTGTCTTTAATCCATAAGAATAACCTCAGCACAGTTCATTACCACTCGTGGCTCTTAAAGTGGCAGCCCTTGAACCCTGCAAGCTGATGGTTGATACTAAAATTTAACAGCTTAAAGAAATCACAAGCCAGGCGCCAGTGTCCTACACCTGTAATCCTAGCTACTTAGGAGGCTGAGATCTGAGGATCTCGATTCAAAGCCAGCCCAGGCAGGAAAGTTCTTGAGATTCTTAGCTTGAATAAACCACTAGAAAACCGGAAGTGGTGCTGTGGCTCAAGAGGTAGAGTGCTCGCCTTGAGCTGAAGAGCGCAGGGACAGCACCCAGGCCCAGAGTTCAAGCCCCACGACCAACCAAAAAAAAAAAAAAAGAATAAAAGAAATCACATATACACTGCCGTGGAAAACACATTTTACAGACTTCATCACCCATTTTAGCATTTTGAAAAGAGAGTGGAACTTTATTTATTTATTTTAACACGTGCAGAATTTGAAAGGAAAAGAATGTGTCAACTCATTGTTTTTGTAGTGGTAGGAATAGAACTTGAGACCTTACACATGCTAGGCGAGCCCTCTACCACTAAACTATAATTCCATCCCCCTGTACTTTTGCATTTTTTTATTATCAGTAAAAATATAAATGGCTTTACTATTAAAATTCACAGAATTCTCTTTTTTTTCTTTTTTTTTTGTTAGTCGTGGACCTGAACTCTGGGCCTGGGCGCTGTCCCTCAGCTCTTCAGCTCAAGGCTAGCTCTCTACCACTTGAGCCACAGCACCATTTCCAGCTTTTTCTGCTTGTGTGGTGCTGAGGAATTGAACCAGGGCCTCATTCATGCAAGGAAAGCACTCTACCACTGAGCCACCTTCCCAGCCCCATAATTCTCTTTTTGAATATTTAATTGAATCTCTTTTAAATTTTGTATTATTATCTTTAAGTAGTTGTACAAAGGAGTTGCCATTTAACAAAGCAGTTTAAGAATACGGTGCATCTTGATCAATGTCACCCCTCACAGAATCCTTTGGAATTTTTTTATTATTCAAATTCCTTAGTTCCTAAATATTTGACATACCCTCGATGAATAGGTTCACTTCCATTTCTGGAAAGCCTCCCTGTGGCAAATTTCCACAAATGAAAACCACAACTAACTAGTATTTCAACAGGGAGGAAATATTGTACGTCTCACTGATACTGATTTAACTACTGATAAAAGGAACTGGTTCATCAATATTCCAACAATTAAGACTGGTTATCATATCACAGTAAAGTACCGTGGTTTCTCCTCCTATGCCTCGTCAATATGCTGTCTACCTGCATTGCTTTGGCTCTTGTTGTTATTCGTAAAGGTATATGTAGGCTCTGCATTTATGTGACTTGTCACTGGTCCTTGATTCATCAGCCAGAATGTCACCTGAGAGCTTGTTGCAAATGCAGGTTTACCAGCCAAACCCTAAAATCAGACACACTGGTAGACAAGCCCAAGAAATTGCATTATAACCAGCAATATACATCAGAACCATTCTAATGTACATTCTAAGCTTGAGAATCCCACCATTGACTCATCAGTACCAAAGAGGAGGAAAAGAGAAAACAAAAGAAACAGCAAAAGAAAAGACAAGAAGAAAGAAAAAGGAAAGAAAGCAGAGAAGGAGGGGAAAGGGGGAAGCAGATTGAATTTTGCAAAATGCTCAAGTATGAATACATGACAAGGGTGATCTGAAAAGCAACGACTCAAAGACAGTCCGGGCTGTCACAGCATACCCCTCTCCCAATTCATGGGACCCCACCAATCACATCTCACAAATGCCACAACATATCTCATGCATAGGGAATATAACGCAAAATGGGCTACATGCAAAACCACATGTTTAAAACCCACATGTGCTTTCCTCCAAGGTGTGGCTCTCAGAGAAAGGTTTCATTGCCAAAGAAACCACCACCTCAGCCACTCTCCCAGAGCCATGTGTTCACTGTTTGTCTTTGTTTTTCCAGTAAAGGATTACCTTCCAGTTCAACTTTTACCCTGGAGGAAGGGACCATCTACTTGACTGCTGAGCCAAATGCTCTGGAAATGCAGGACGATAATGCCTCTGTGCTGGATGTCTATTTAGTAAGTCATCTTTCCTTTCTCTCCCCTCTTTTTCCGGATAATGACTGGATTGAGCAAAGTGCTAGTTTATGAAACTGGAAAACAAGTTTTATCAAACCAGGCAGGGCCAGGCAGTGGTGGTTCATGCCTGGAAGCCTAGCTACTCAGGAGGCTCTGAGATCTGAAGATTGTTGTTCAAAACCAGCCCGGGCAAGAAAGTCTATGAGACTTTCAATTAAACTTTCCATAAAATCTGCAATTAACTCACAAAATAATGGAACTGGGAATTGGAAGCAGAGCTCTAGTGATAGAGCTATAGCCAATGAACAGAAGCATCAGATCAGGAGTTCAAGTCTCAAGTCTCAGACAAAAAAAAAGAAAAGATTTAAGTGGAGCTTTGGCCCAAGTGGTAGAGCTCTAGCTTTGAGTTTATTTCATTTAGATGTAGCAGGCATTTCAGAAAGAGGTCACTTGAAATCTTATCTTCTTGAGCCAAGGGTTTTCTTTAATTAATTGACTTTATTGCTATTATAGAGGTGATGTACAGAGGAATCACAATTACATGAGTCAGGTAATGAGTACATTGCCTTTCGTACAGTGTCTTCTGTTCCCTCATTCCCTCCCATCTCCTCCCACAAGCTGTAAATAGTTCACTTCCATCAGTGTCTAGTGAGCTCCACTGCTGCACTTTTTCAGCCTTTTTTAAAAAGTCTTTTGTTTCCATATCTTGGAGTTTATTTCATTATGTAAATTATTTTAGGTAAATATGAAGAGGCACTGAGGCATTACTCCTTTGTGTTTCTCTCCGAAGAATATCCTCTTTTTGGTCTCACTGTGTATGAGTATCTAGAATCCTGTATAATTTGTCCTACCCCCGTGCATTTTAGATCTAACTTCTGCACATTGAGAGAACATGCATCTTTTGTCTCTCTGAGCTTGGCTTAACTCACTTGCCAGGATTTGTTCTAGTTCCATCCATTTCCCTTCAAATGAAATTATTGTATTCTTTCTAATGGCTGTGTAAATTTTTCTGCCATTTTCCTGTGTCTTTACACATGCCAGATCTGCAGAAGCCATGACTGGTTTGGGTCACTGTAAAATCAAAAGGGAAGGTGAGTGGTCTTGCTGGTGCCAGCTCTGCCTCTGCATTCCTGATTCCTTGGGTAGGAAAGGGTCTGCATCATGTTGCTTTTCCTTTTGCATATTATCAACTTCATTTCATTAATGTCTTCACTGCTTTCTTTTGTGTCGTGACTCCTTTGACGTTAAAAAGCTAAACACTTCAGAAAAAGATAATGCCAGCATCTGAAGCCACAGAGAAATATCTGTAACTACAGGCACTTGAAGACCAGTTCGAAATCAAGGCAATATTCAGATAGGAAGAGGTGAGGTCAAATGACAGAGAGTGGGGGGAAAGAAGGGAGGAAGGAAGGGAGGAAGGAAGGGAGGAAGGAAGGAAGGAAGGAAGGAAGGAAGGAAGGAAGGAAGGAAGGAAAGAAGGAAGGAAGGAAGGAAGGAAGGAAGGAAGGAAGGAAGGAAGGTAGGAAGGAAGGAAGGAAAAGGCATTGTGGATAGCTTTATAAGAGACAATGGATAGGAGAGACACTTGAACTAATAGGCACAGGCAGGAACTTCCTGAACAGAGTTCTAGGATCACAACAAATTGGAGAGAGACTCGACAAATGGGACTACCTTAAAATAAAAAGTTTCTGCACAACTAACGACATAGCAACCAAGCTAGAAAGACAGCCAACAAACTGGGAAAAATTATTTACCAGCAATATGTCAGACAAGGGGTTAATATCCAGTATGTACAGGGAGCTCAAGAAACGAATCCCTCCCAACCCTAACAAACCAATTACTAAATGGGCAAGGGAACTAGAGAGAGACTTCTCAGAAGAAAAGATAAAAAATGGCAAAGAAACACATAAGGAAATGTTCACCATCCCTGGTTGTGAAGGAAATGCAAATAAAGACAACCCTGAGATACCACCTTACCCCAGTCAGAATGGCCCACATCCTCAAGTCAGCCAATGACAAATGTTGGAGGGGATGCGGAGAAAGAGGAACCCTATTACACTGATGGTGGGAATGTACAGTTACACAACCACTTTGGAAAGCAGTCTGGAGGGTCCTCAGAAAGCTAAATATTGACCTCCCTTATGACCCAGCCATACCACTTCTAGGCATCTACCCTGAACAACAGGAACCAGTATACAAGGACACGTGCACCTCCATGTTTATTGCAGCACTGTTTATAATAGCCAGAATATGGAAACAACCCAGATGCCCCACTACAGATGAATGGATCCAAAAATTATGGTACCTATATACAATGGAATATCATGCAGCCATTAGAAAGGACAAAATAATAACATTCACAGGAAAATGGATGGAACTAGAAAAAAACCATGTTGAGTGAGGTAAGCCAAGAGCAAAGAGACAAACAGCACATGGTGTCCCTGATAAGTGGATGTTAAATCCAAAAAGTAAGGAGATACAACAAAGTAAACAAGACTAGAGAAACAAAGGCCCTCCACTCAGCTGGTCAAATCATTACTAAATGACCTCATGCTGCTGATCACATACAATGTATATATGTGCACATTGGAGAGAAACTAGGAGGAGGACACAGAAACAGAGGGAAACAGGGGAAAACATACAACCTAGGGGCCCATTACCTGCACTAGTTATTGATCAAAACGAAGTAAGCAACTCAATGGCAGTGATGGGAGGGAGGGAATGAGCGGGAAAGAGAGAACAGCTGACACTAAGCAAATGAAAGAAAGGTACATATCACCCAATGTGGAAGAAATAACTGTATTGTCAAAGCTCATAGAATTCATAAACTTTATAGACCACGATAAAGACAGTTTGCCCTATGAAGGTTAGAATGTGTTTGTGACTTTAACTAAGTATCACTGTCCCACAATACTGTGAAATTTATGGCCAAATGGTCAGTCTTCCAGTACAATATATTGTGGTTCAGAAGTAAGAGAGGAAAAGAAGAGTAGCAACCAGGGGAAGGTAGCAGATAGGAGGAATTTTTCTCAAAAAGTTTAGAGAAATAGTGATCTATCCTAAACCTATAGTTTTAGCTAAAAACAAGAAGCCATGAAGCCTTTCTTGAGTGTCTGCAGCAACCCTAAGCTGTCCTATGGCCTTTAGAGGGGACTAAGTCATATCATCTCATAGCATTCCTCGAAGGGAGGTATGGTTACTTGTACAAACAAGATGCATGGATATTACAGTCCGCCCCCAAGAATCAGTATGAGTCAGATTCAAACCAGTAGGGACTAACCAAAAACCAGCATGCTTAACTGCTAAACAATGATTCTGGGATGAAGTGGCATATTGAATTAAACCCAGAAAGCCAAAAATGTAGCTCTCAGTGGAGTCTTTGCCTAGCATACACCAGGCCCTCGTTTGATCCATAAAATAGTCCCTTCTCAAAAAAAAAAAAAAAAACACACAAACCTAGATAAGTCAAACAACTTACCCAAAATCAGACCAAGTAATATGACAAGAAAAACTAGATAGAGGGGAAACAAACTTAAAGAGACATATTTGAACTGATAAACCTGGACTTTTTAAACTTCGGTATAGAAAGGGAAATGGCTTGGCACAATTGGTAGACAAGAGTTTACATACTAATAATAAGAATGGTCAGCCAGGGGCTGGGAAGGTGGCTCAGTGGTAGAGCACTTGCCTTGCATGTCTGAGGCCCTGGGTTCGATTCCTCAGCACCACATAAGCAGAAAAAAAAAAGCCAGAAGTGGCTCTGTGGCTCAAGTGGTAGAGCGCTAGCCTTGAGCTGAAGAGCTGAGGGACAGCGCCCAGGCCCAGAGTTCAGGCCCCATGACCGGACTGAAAAAAAAAAAAAAAAGAATGGTCAGCCAGGTGCCAATGGCTCACGCCTATAATCCTAGCTACTCAGGAGGCTGAGATCTGAGGATCGCTGTTCAAAAGCCAGCCCAGGCAGGAAAGTCCATAAGAGTCTTATCTCCAATAAACCATTCAGAAAACCCGAGGTGGTGCTGTGGCTCAAGTGGTAGAGTGCTCGCCTTGAGCTGAAGAGCTCAGAGACGTCACCCAGGCCCAGAGTTCAAGCCCCACCACTGACAAAAAGGGGGGGGGATAAGTCCAGAAAAGAAGATACATCGAGCTTTGTGAGAATTTTTTTCTGTGAAATTCTACTTTTGGGCTGAGGATGTAGCTCTGTGATAGAGCACGTGCCAAGCATGCATGAGTCATAGGTTCAATCCTCAGCACCTCAAATATCTTTCATTTCCTTTCTGGTTATTTATTAATATACAACAGTCCTGCCTGTCAGTGGCATGGTTCACACGTGTAATCCTAGCTGTTCAGGGGAGGATTGAGAGGTCCATGAGACTCTTATCTACACACACACACACACACACACACACACACACACACACACACACACACAGAAGTGGCACTGTGGCTTAAGTGGTAGAGCACGAGCCTTGAGAAAAAGAAGCTCAGGGACAGCACCAGGCTTTAGTTCATGCCCCAGGACCAGCACAAAAAAAGAAAAATCTAAGATTCTAGCAAGTTTTTGTATCTGAGGGTTATGTCTTCAAAACTAAAGCTGAGAAAATGTTTAAGTACTTATTTATTTAAAGTAGTAAACATAGCCAGGTGCTGATAGCTCCTGCCTGTAATTCTAGCTACTTAGGAGGCTGAGATCTGAGGACCACAGTTCAAAGCCATCCCAGGCAGGAAAGTCTGTGAGACCCTTAAATCCAATTTAATCTCCAGAAAACTGGAAGTGGAGCTGTGCCTCGCAGTGTTAGAACACTAGCCTTGAGCAGAAAAGCTCAAGGACAGCATCCAGGCCTTGAGTTCAAGCCCTATAAACAACAAAATAAAACTAAACAGTAATTTTTAAAATATCTTAAGAATATAACTATTTCCAAAACAAAAATAAATTTAGTGAATAAGAGAACTATTTGTTTTGTCCGTTGTGGGGCTTGAATTCAGGGCCTGGGCACCCTCCCTGAGCTCTTTTGCTCTACCACTTTGAGACAGAGTGCCACTTCTGGTTTTCTGGTTGTTAATTGAAGATAAGAGTATCATGGACTGGCTGGATGCCCAGGCTGGCTTCGAACCACAGTCTTCAGATCTCAGCCTCCTGAGTAGCTAGGATTATAGACATGCGCCACTGGCACCTGACAAGAGAACTATTATGTTAGTTTTCTTTTCATCCAATGTCTAGATTAGTACAAGAAGTTGGATGCTCATATCTATGTCTGCATCTTTTTTTGTTTTATGACTTTAAAACAAAACTGTGCCTATACTAGGACTTGAACTCAGAGCTTTGCACTCTCCCTTGGCTTTTTTGCAAATCACAGGCATGCTACCACTTTTCCTGCTGATCCCAGGGCTTGAACTCAGGGCTTCATCTGCTTGAGGCTAGTGCTCTACCATTTGAGCCACAGCACCACTTCCAGGATTTTCTGAGTAGTTTACTAGAAACAAGAGTCTCAATCCTCCTATCTCAGCCTCCTGGGTAGCTACGATCACAGGTGTAAGCCACAAGCACCTAGCTGTACTACTCTTTTTGTTTATTTGTAGAACAAATAGGTATACAGAGGAGTTTCAATTTAACCTAGCTGTTGATCTGTAAGGGGATGACAGTTGTGATCCACTGATGCCAGTCTAGCTGGCTGTAACTTGACATGAGGTTCAAAAGGTTAGATGACCCTAGGCAACATTAATTGTTCCATCAGTCTGAGGAAGGCTTTTCGTTCAGGTCTCACAGAATACAGTGCTCCTACAGTTCTTTCACAACGCCATTCACGTGGCTCTGTGGACATCCAGGCGTCCTGATCCACTCTCAAATAGTCAAGGAGTTAGCGTTGGTGGTATAGGGGTGAGCATAGCTGCCTTCAAACAGTCAATCAAGGAAGAGGTTGTCAGAGATGAAATTGACCAGTGACTGAAAGATATATGTGTACCACTGCATGCTGGGCCGAGGCCGCAGTGGAGGGTGTGTAAAGCAGCCTGCTGGGGTATACGGTGGCCATGGTCTTCATGACAGATTTCTCCTTGGTGAACAGGCTCAGGCAGTACCAGGCGCTGAGGCCGCCCCTCACCCATCACGGTTGTGAAAGCAGCCTTGCTTTGCCTAATATAGAATGCAATCTGGTGTTCAGGGGAAGATTGAGTGAGAGCGAGCCCCCCAAATGGGTTTGGCTAAGTGGGTGCTGATAGGCTGCGTTTTTTATAGTGGAGGAGAGGGGAAGATCGCTAGCACAGGACAACGCCTTTCTTGCCTCTGTTCTTCTCCCCTAAATTATGCCCCGTTCCTTCTACACGTCTCCCGTGAACAGCCTCCCATCCTTTCTTCTTTCATCCACACAAGTGCTGTAAAAATGGATTAGCTGTGCATGAAGGAAAAAGAAAGGGATTAAACCTTCTGGGATTCGTGCTCGGATAAGCAGCTCTGGGCTATCCTAATTATTGAATGTGTTTTTAGGGTGGCTAATGATACTCTTTGATCAAGGGGGCAAAGAGAGAGGAAGATGTGGAAAAGATTGAATTAGCAGCTTATCATACGATTGTGAATGAGGTGAACCTGAGGAGGAAAAAATAAAGAGGAAAAAAAACCTTTCATTAAGATCATGGGAGTCTTAGACAACTTTTTGTGGAAAGAGAATCTCTTTGGGATTCGAACCCGTGGCTTTGAAGTTAGGGGCCTATTCCTACAATGTAGGTCTCTTTGGTGATTTCCTGGGAATCCGCTGTTGACTGTGGGAAGGTGCTTATTTGAGACGGTGGTGGTTTCATGGCTTCACAGGAGAATGCTGGATTCCCCACTAGCCAAAGGCTCTGCTCCAGTGCAAACAAACAACAACACAGAATAACACCATTGGTTCCTAAGCATCTGAATCAGAAATGCCTTTCCTTCACCAAAGGATCACATTGTTGGGCACTAGAGTTTTAGAAAGGGTAAACAAAGGCCCTTTTTCTCCAGAAATGCCTGACTCCTTAAGTTATTAACCAAACAGCATTCTTAAGACACGTGAAAAGGCTAAATAATAATAATAATAATAAATCATTGTCACTCCTGAGCCCCTTAACATCTCCAAGCTATTTCTATTTTTGAATTAAAGGTGACATATACCTCAGTTTAATGAGGTGACCTGTCGGTCTGATTAGGAAGTCTCTCATAGGAACTTTTTTTTTTTAACAACACTAATTGCTGTTTAAGGATTCACTTAGGGGTTGGGGATTTGGCTCAGTGAATGCTTGCCTGGCAAGTGCAAGGCCCTGGGTTCAGTCTTCAGCTGGGGAGGGGTGGAGAGCTAGAAAGACCTCGCTGGGTGCTGATAGTCACACCTGTAATCCTAGCTACTCAGGAAGCTGAGTACTGAGGATCAAGGTTCAAAGCCAGCCAAGGTAGAAAAGTCCCCAAGAGACTATCTCCAAATTAACCACACAAAAACCGGAAGTGGCACTGTGGCTCAAAGTGGTAATGAGCTAGCCTTGAGCAAAAGAGCTCAGAAACACTGTCTGGGCCCCAAGTTCAAGTCTCATGACCAACCAAAAAAAAGGGGGGGACTAGCTTAGAAACTTGGAGCTGGAGATAAAGAAGCACTGTGGCCTTTCAGTTTCATGAAAGCCTGAGTGAACTGGCATGATAGTTTGTAGGGCCACAGCCTGACTGGCACGTTCTTCAAAATGCCTGTGTCTCCTATTCCCCCCCCCCCTTCCTGCCCCTCTCCTCCCCCACCGCCCCAGGCTATCCATGGGACATTCTGCCATTGCCCCTCCTTTGTCTCCTATAAGTAATCTGTCCCTCTAGACACTGTCCCTCTGGCTTTGCTTTCTGGATTCCTCTTCCTCGTCATAAAAGGCCAGCATTTACAGAGCTCCTGACATTTTTCCAATGCTACTAGTAGAAACTAGTAGTTTCTACTAGTGTGAACTTGAGAATGACAGGTTCCAAGCCTGAAGAAATGAACGGCGTCTTAAACCGGACAGAACAAATGAGAGTTTTAGAGAGAATGAATGTCTGAGATACCCATCGACCTGGTAAACAGGACCGTCCTCTCTCATACCCTTCCTTTCCCTTCTGGGTTACAATGGGAAAATGCATAATAAGAAATAAAAGCCTAGCAGGGCGCTGGTGGCTCACGCCTGTAATCCCAGCTACTCAGGAGGCTGAGATCTGAGGATCGTGGTTCAAAGCCCTGGGCAGGAAAGTCTGTAAGACTCTTATCTTCAATAAACCACCAGAAAACTGGAAATGGCGCTGTGGCTCAAGTGGTAGAGTGCTAGCCTTGAGCTGAAGAGCTGAGGGACAGCGCCCAGGCCCAGAGTTCAAACCCCACGACTGACAAAAAAAAATAAGTAAATAAAAGAAATAAAAGCCTGGTCAGGAGGCTGAGATCTGAGGATCATGGTTTGAAGCCAGCCTGGGCTAGAAAGTCCACGAGACTCTTACCTCCAGGTAAGCACCAGAAAGCCAAAGCCAGAAGTGGAGCTGTGGCTTAAGTGATAGAGCACTAGCCTTGAAGAAAACCAAATAAAACAATACAAAACTCAAGACCAGCACCGAGGCCCTGAATTCAAGCCCCAGGGCCAGCATAGAAATAAATAAACAAATAAATAAAGCTTATTGAGTATATATGACCCGAGTGGGAGGAGGATTCTGTAGCTGGGATGTTAGTAAGGTCCTGGGCTTTCCCCAGCTCATCTCCTCTGGGTACTAATAGCCAATTGCCTCAAACTAGACGGCTTACACAATCGAGCTTTGTTGTCTTCCTGTTCTAGAGGCCTAACATGAAGGTGTCCGCAGTGCCTTGCTCTTTGAAGCAGTGGTAGGTAAGGGTTCCTACCTGCCGTCTCCGACTCTAGTGCTCTTTAAGGGAGTTGTCCTCTCTGCTTCCTGGTTGGCATGGCTTTCTTCCTGTGATTCCCCGAGTTCAGTCTGTCCTCTCTTCTTCTTCTTCTTAGGACATCGGTCATGGCTTCAGGGCCTACCCTAGTGCATGTGATCCCGTCTGACCTGATTGCATTTGCAGGTACCCTATTTTTAAATAATGTCACGTTCAGTTGTCCCAGGTGGATAGGAATTCTCAGGGGACTGAAAATCCCACTGCATGGCGGTTCCAGAGGTGTTGAGCCTCGCTCACACGCGTACATCCATTTCCCTCATCCATTCTCCCCTTCTCCCTGGCTAAGCTGTTGTGAGGCTGGGTAGATAGTTCCAAGTTGTTTTCTGTTGCCCATCAAACGTTCACATACCCTGCTGCACTGTTGGTGGGAATGTAAACTAGTCCGACCACTCCTGGACAGCAGTGTGGAGATACCTCAGAAAACTAGACATAAATCTTCCCTGTGATCTAGCCACTCCTGGGCACCTACCCAGAACATCACAAACCAGGATATCATAAAGACACCTGCACATCCGTGTGCATTGCCTTACTTTTCACACTAGCCTAGATGTGGAACCAGACCAGGTGCCCCCACAATAGATGAGTAGATCCAAAAAAATGTGGTACCTATACACAATGGACTTTTACACAGCCATTAGAAAGAATATTATTACATCACTTGCAAAGAAATGGATGGAGCTAGAGCAAATCATGTTAAGTGAGACACGCCAAATGGCGCGTGTAATCTCTCATATGAGTAAGCGAGATCTAAAATACTGGAACATGCGCAATTATACAGGACTCTGGGCATTCACACACAGTGAGACTCTTAGGAAAGGAATCCAAAGGTGGAATGCCTGTGTGCATCTGACTACACAAAATAATGCTTGTCGAAATTAACTCCGGGAAATGGAAACAAATTTTTTGTTTAAAAAAAAAAAAAAGTTGTCAGGTAAATGTATTAACAGACTCCACTGCAAGTATATATATTAGAAATCAAGTGCTGGGTGAGGGCGGGGGAGGTGGGAATGTTTGGTAGTTTTAGGAGTTTCCTCTGATCTCATTCACAGGGCCCTGCCCTTCCCCTCTGAGCATCCTGTCAGTCTTCTATATTAATGTAGGAGAGACTGGAGCCACGATCCCAGTGTCCCCCTCCTAAGGGGGTTGGGAGTTAGAATCAAGCATACTTTTCCTCTGATCTAGAAGCAAAACTAAAGTGAACCCCTGTGATGATCCTCCACCGGTACTGCCCAGAGCTTGTGATCAAGGGCCTTCTTTCTGCCATCCCTCTGCTGCCACCTATTGGTAGAAAGGCAGCACTGCCCAAGGCGGAGAAGAAGTGACTTAGCAGGACCTTGAATTGGTGTTTAATTAAGAGTGAGTTCAGGGCTCAATGGACTATTTCCAGCACTGCGCATGCAAGTTCAGCAGGGAGCATGTTCTTCGGCTGTCCAAAGCCAGATCACCCTGACGGGCCCAGCATCTACCACCTTTCAAATTGGCCTTGAGACGACAATTATTATGGAGGCACTGTGGGAAGGTGCTAATTTGTTCTTGGACCCTAGCACACCCCTCCTTATCTATCAGGGCCAGTTCCACTTGAGTCTCTTAGAAAGGGGCCCCTTGGTAGTTTGGAGATTCCACACAGATAATGCTTCTCCTGTTTAAGCAGCCGCTTCAACGGTCTCAGCAAATACATCGTGGATAAAGGCTCTCTTGTCTTGCCGTCTGTGACAGGTCCTCATTTACAGTCCCCAGATTCCTAGCTGATTGTGGCTTTTGAAATCATTCTCAAGAGAGAATAAATATAATAAAAAACAAAAATCCTCGGCGCTGTTGGCTCGCTCCTATAATCCTAGCTACTCAGAAGGCTAAGATCTGAGGACTAAGGTTGAGAGTAGCCTAGAAGGAGAAATCTGTAAGACTCCTATCTCCAGTGAACCAGCAAAAAGCCAGAAGTGGAGGTACAGCTCAAGTGAGAAGACACCAGTCAAGAGCAAAAAGTCCAAAAAGGCAAGATCAAAGGGTTAGTATACTAGACTAGAGCAAGAAAAGCTCAGTGACGGCACCCAGGCCCTGAGTTTAAGCTCCATGTCCCACAAGACAAACACACAAAGTTTTCATACTATCCTGTAAGATAGGGTGTGTTACTTCTATTTCACAGGTGATAAGAATCCCAAAGGTTAAACAACTTGCATGATGTCATGTGGCAGTAATGACTAGAACGTTAATAGATTTGTGCCAATCGATCTCTCTACAGACAAACTGGCTTTGATTTTAAAGGATTACCATTTTAGCTTAGATAATCTGCTAGATGTTCCTTCTGCCTAGCCACAGGGACACTAATTAGAAATGCCTGTGGTATTTGGGAGTTGGTGACTGTTTTGTTGGGGTTTTGGTTTGTTTTTTATTTGTCAGTTGTGAGGCTTGAACTTAGGGCCTGGGCACTGTCGTTGAGCTCTTCAGCTCAAGGCTACAGCCATAGCACCACTTCCAGGTTTCTGGTGGTGAATTGGAGATTAAAGTCTCATGGACTTTTCTGCTGGCTTTGAGCCCTGATCCTCAGATGCCAGTCTCCTGAGTAGCTAGGATTACAGGTGTGAGCCACCAGTGCCCAGCTTAAGACTATGTTTGAGATATTCTTTCAAATCCAGGTCTAACAGAGCTTGCTCAGCACTCCCTTTAGCCCTGTGCAGGAGGAGACGGGTATGTCTTAATCAGCCCTGCTTCCTAGTGTCATACTGTGTTGTAATTGGTATTGACTTGTGATAAAGGTTGGGTCCCCAGAGGAGCAGATGCTATGCTAATTATTGCAGAAGAATCTCAAGCTTCATGCACCCCATTTCTACCTGCATCTTTTCCAGATGACACACTGGGAGAAATAATGAGCGTGGGGGCCCACGCATGGGCCTGGGTTATAATTTGGTGCCAAAACTTCATCTCATATCTGCTCTCTTCCTCTTTCCCAACCTCCCCTATAGTAAGCACGCCGATCAGACACAAATGCAGTTGTAAGAAGGAAGTCTGTCCATTCCAGAATTCTCCACAGGAACTTGGCTGAATCCTGATACACACAGAGGAAAAAGCAACTAGACGTCAGAGTCTGCGCCATGTTGAGGAAGCCCTGGTCCACAGGCCCAGTTGTGAATGGGATGTAAAAACACCACACTATTCTATCACTTGCTGTTGCTTGCTGACTTCCAAGAGCTGCATGAACTTTATTGACCTGCTTTCTAGACCATTGCCAATCACCTTCTGGAAGTGTTATTTTCCTATGGACACTTGCACACTTTCATTTCGCATGTATCCCGTGATTGCACATAAGCAGCCTATGAAACCAACCTGCTTTGATATTTTTTTAAATCCATCCAGACAACATGAGAAAGTATAAATTATCTCTCTTTTGTTTTGCAAAATTAGAATCATAGCCCACGTCATTAAAAGTTTAAATTGATTTCTTTGAAGATCAGAGTCGTAGCTCCGCCTCTACTTTATAGAAAACCAGCTTCTTCTTATAAAGGCTTTTCACCGTTTACCAGTGAAATGAGAAGAGCAAAGCTATTTATAAAAGGCCTTACATCGTGTACATATGTTGTCTTTGAAATATTTGTGATCTAGTTTATTGCTTGTAAAAGAGAAATTATATAATTTATTTAGTAAATACAGCTGTAAACTATAGTTTTATTGAAGGAAATAAAATATTTTGTTCTCACTTGTGGTCAGGCATTGGTTTCAGTGATTTATATTCACTACATGAGTGTGTGTGTATGTGTGTGTGTGTGTTGTTGGGGATCCAACCCAGGACCTTACACATACCAAGCAAATGCTGTATCACTGAGTTATATTCACAACCCATGATATTTTTATTAATTAAAAAGAAATAACCCAAATAGGATCACAGCACAAAATATGGATATATTAAAAAGTCACAATGAAGCACATAATTCTGTACAATTATTATAAAACTAATACAAATGAAAAATTGGAAATTAAAAGCATGGTGAACTTTGGAATATTAAAATGGAAGAAACTGGTTTTTTAAAAGGGATAGGGCTGGGAATGTGGTTTAGTGGTAGAGTGCTTGCCTAGCATGCATGAAGCCCTGGGTTCGATTCCTCAGCACCACATAAGCAGAAAAAGCCAGAAGTGGCACTGTGGCTCAAGTCGAAGAGCGCTAGCCTTGAGCAAAAAGAAGCTCAAAGACAATGCCTGGGCCTGAGGGGGGGAAAACAACTTGGGAATGTGGTTTCATGGTAGAGTGCTTGCCTAGCATGCATGAAGCCCTGGGTTCGATTCCTCAGTACCACACAAACAGAAAAGGCCAGAAGTGGTGCTGTGGTTCAAGTGGTAGAGTGCTAGCCTTGAGCAAAAAGAAGCTCAAGCACAATGCCTGGGCCTGAGTTCAAGCCCCAGGACTGGGGGGAAAAAAAAGTTGGGAATGTGGTTTTGTGTTAGAGTGCTTGCCTAGCGTGCATGAAGCCCTAGGTTCAATTCCTCAGTGCCACATAAACAGAAAAAGCCAGAAGTGGCACTGTGGCTCAAGTGGTAGAGTGCTAGACTTGAGCAAAAAGAAGCTCAGGGCCAGTGCTCCAGACCCTGAGTTCAAGCCCCAGGATTGACAGGGGGGGACATAAATGATATGATTCCATATATATGACATTTCTAAAAAGAGAAAATTTATGGAAACAGAAAACATGGTGATTGTCTGTGGCTGGCAGTGATGGGAATTTGGAGAAATGGGAAATGGCTGTCAGTGCACATTGAGTTTCTTTCTTTTTGGCTTAAAACATCAAATAGAATTTATTTCTCCAAAACAAGATAGAAAAGAAAAGACATAACTTCAGCATGCCCCATGTTTGGAATTCATAAATATACCAAGGCCCTTGACAAAAAAAAAATTGATAGATGAGATTCTCAGTCCTGAAAAAATACTCGATGGCAGATTCTGCCCAACAGATCCTAGAGACATTCCCAAATGTTCTTGTATATTAGTCAGCCATTACTATGTTTGATTTTGGGATACCAAAATCAAAATAGCTCTCGATACTACAGTTTTACTTCTCACTCCTTTCTGAGGCCACACCGAGCTATGCTCCAGGGTTTTCTTTCTTTTAGAATCCAGAGCAGCCCCTCTTGGGGCCCAGCCACATTTATAGCAGAAAAAAAGATGGGTGCTCACAAAGTTTCTCCTTCATGGGGCTATTCTGGCGGTCCCTTGCCCCACGCGAGTGACAGAGGAATTGGTGAAACCTTGAAACAATCAATGTGGACACACCACCTGGAGAATGTCCCTAAAAGCAGAGTTCTAACGATGCTGAGGTTTGGGGAAGTCACAAGAAAGCCAAATAACCAAGGCAGCTGCAGAAAAGCCTTCCTGATGAGTAAGATGCTCAGGATAAAATACCTCAGGTTAAAGAAATCCACTTTACCGTAAGCAGACACGATGCTCACAATGTAGCCTAGAGCCCTGGTAACTCAGCCCTAGTAAGTAGCAAGTTCACCGGCAGGTAGAGTACTAGGAGTGCATCCTGGGTTAGGATGTTGTGTTAGGTCCTCTTGAGCTGCTGAAAGAGAACACTACGGGGGATGTAATTATAAAGAACACACATGGGTTTCTCACACTCTAGAGGCTGAGAAGTCCATGAGCAAGGCATGATCATGAGCAAGTCCCTGATCCATTGAGGGCTTTTGTGGCACAGACAGAAGAGCAAGAAGAGAGCCAGCTTCCACCTACTTTTTTCCTGTAGCCCTGATATCTGAATGAGGACAAGAGTCCTCATGACCTAATCCCCCCTAGATGACCCCACGCCCCCACCTTGCTCTGGGGTGGCAGTTCCATCCATGAATGGTGGAGAACCCATTCAGACTACAGGACATAGCCACAGAGCATGCTAAAGGTAAGAGGCTGAACCTTTTCTGCCTTTCTCTCCCTAGTGTTCCTATGGACTAGAATTCTCTCTCCCCCCATCGACTCAGCTTGCTGAGTTCCTCCTCTTCCCTTCCTGTGGTAATGCTACGCTTGTCCCTCAGCTGGAATTTAGTTCGCCATGCTGATTCCTAAGGGGGTCACTAGTGGAGATTAACAGGACCATGAAACAAGAGATACAAGTTGGATATCCTTTGTATTCATGACTGGGTTCTCTTTCCTATAAAGAGAATGGCTACGACTTCCATCAAGACACAGCGACCTTGAACCAAGAAACGTTAAGGACTCTTATTTTAAGGCCTCACTCAAATATCATTCCTATGCCGTGAATTTCCCTCCTCTGGTCCCTAGGCCTGTACCCCTACCTGGACAGCCTGTGGTTCCCTTTCCACTTTAGAAAACCGCAACACTTGGCACTGTTTGTGAATAATTCAGGTATTGCTTACATGAGCTAGAGTGCCCAACTTGTTTGATGATGGTGGTGGTGGTCATGGGGTTTGAACTCAAGGCCTCAGTGCTGTCCTTGAGTTTTTCTGTTCAAGGCTAGTGCTCTACCACTTTGAGCCATAGCTCTACTACTGGTTTTCTGGTGGTTAATGGAGATAAGAGTCTCATGGCCTTTCCTGCCTGGGCTGGCTTTGAACCAAGATCCCCAGATCTCAGCCTCCTGAGTAGCTGGGATTACAGGCATGAGCCACCAGCACCTAGCTTGTGTATGCACCTAGCACCTAGAATAAGATGAAAGACATTTCCAACTAAACTATGAGCTTCTTCACGCCTTTTGCGATCACCACAGGTGATTTGTACATTTCTTTCCTTTGGGTTAGTGTAAGCTGTTCCCTCTTTCCCTCTCATTCACTCCCTCCCATCACTGACCTTGAATTGCTTAGTTTGTTTCCATCAATGTCCAGTGCAGCTGATGGGCCTCTCTGCTGTATGTTTTCCCCTGTTTCCCTGATTCTGTGCCCTCCTCCTAGCTTCCCTCAGATGTGTGCAGATAGACAGACAGACAGACAGACAGACAGACAGACAGACAGACAGACAGACAGATAGATAGATAGATACCATATATGTGGTCAAGAGCATGGAGTCATTTAGAAATTGAGTGGAAGTCCTTTGTTTCTTGAGTTCTGTTGACTTTGTCGTATCTCCTTGCATTTTGGATTTAGCATCCACATATCAGGGAGACCATGTGCCATTTGTCTCTCTGCTCTTGTGAGCCTTAGTAATTTTTAAAGAACATAAATTTATTTTTTCACCATTTTAGAGGCTGGGAGTCCAAGATCAAAACATTGACAGGTTCAATGGCCTGGTAAGGCCCTAAAGTTGGCCTCCAAGATGGCGCCTGATGATTACATCCTCCAGAGGGTAAACACAGAGGTGAAGAGACAGAAAAAGAAAGAGGTCTCTCCTAGCTAGTTCCCTGGCCCTTTACAAGGCCCTAATTGCATTCGTGAGGGTAGAGCCTTCATGGCCTACTCACCTTCTTGCTTGATATTGTCCCATCAAGGATGAAATCTCAACATAGGCATGTGGTGACACACTGAAACCACAGTGTGTCGTATGCGCCTCCCACGGTTCTCTGTTTGGCCTGACTGGTGAGACGCACTCAAACTATCAATGGTATTCTCCTGGCCTCACAGTCCAGTGATGGCAGTCTTCCACCACACTCCCAAAACACTTTGGCCTTCGTGTCTCCTTGGATCTATCCAGAGCCTTATGAACCACTCCAGTCCAAGGCTGATGGATTTCTGCACCTCCTCCCTGCTTGCTGTCTTGGGAGACTCTTCATCAGCATGCTGAGGATTCTCTTCATCTCCTACCTACAGTGGGTCTCCTCTTTTTTTTTTTTTTGAGCCCTCTGGCTTCCCTTCTTAATTGACTAGGTGGTTTTCGTAAAGCACATTAAAGTCAAAGCTAAGGATGGGCACACGGCAGAACACAGGAAAGTTGCCCTGAGTCCTGAGCCCCTTGCTTCTAGAGTTCTTTTATGTGTCCTTCTGCTGAGTTCTCGGTGTGTGTGTGTGTGCGTGTGTGTGTGTGTGTGTGTGTGTGCATGTGTGTTGACAGGGATCAAACTTAAGACTTTGTGCATGCTAAGCAAGTCTTCCACTGTTCAAACCTCTTCCCTAAACTTCTTCCTTCCTTCTTTCCTTCCTTCTTTCCTTCTTCTTTCTCTCTGTTTCTGTTTCTGTTTCTCTCTTTCTTTCTCTCTCTCTTTCTTTCTCTCTCTTTCTTTTTCTTTCTGTCATGGGGCTTAAACTCAGGTCCTGGGCGCTATCCCTGACCTCTTCAGCTCAAGGCTAGCACTCTACCACTTTGAGCCACAGCTCCACTTCTGGTTTTCTGGTGGTTAACTGGAGATAAGAGTCTCATGGACTTTCCTGCCTGGATTGACTTTGAACCACGATCCTCAGATCTCAGCCTCCTGAGTAGCTAGGATGACAGGCGTGAGCCACCAACCCCTGGCAGGGCATCTCATTTTTAAAGTTCTCCGGGGGGATTCTAATGAAGACACCCCTTAGCATCACCAAATCAACCTGTGACAGTGTCTGCTTTGACCTGCATTGTAATGGCCTACAGAAATCATCTTGCAAATGTAAAATTCCATCCGTCTTCATTGGCCCCAAATCCTGCAGCTCGCAGTTTCTGCAGCAGTATCTGCACACAGTCGGCCTCTCTTCCCACAGGACATCAGTCACCTGTGCTGAATCGCAGCTGAACCTTGGCTCTGCATTCTTCTCTAAGCCCTCAGGCTCCCGCTCTATCTCCACAGTGCAGGGGAGAGAAGAAGTGACAGTTGCTGTTTATCTTCCATTTGCACTGTGGGTTTTCTTACATCAGCACTAGGAGATGAGTAATGACGCGCTTTGTGAAACCACAAAAAGAAAGTTAAAGGTAGCCCAAAAAGGCCAGGAGTGCTGAGCCTACCAACTCATTCTACCTCCTGCCTGGGCTGGGCTGGGCTAGGTACTTGCCCCTGACCTAAATCCATTCACGTTTTCCCACCCCAGCACCAAAATGTCTGTGGCCCAGAGAACAAAGAGTTAAAAAACAAGAGGTCTCAACTCAGTTATCTTAATAATTATCTCTCCACGACAAAAGAACACTATAGAGCTACAATAAGAAAAAGGTGCTGGGTGCCAGTGGCTCACGTCTGTAATCCTAGCTACTCTGGAGGCTGAGATGTGAGGATCACCGTTCAAAGCCAGCCCAGGCAGGAAAGTCCAGGAGACTCTTAATCTGCAATGTACTTGCAAAAACAAAAGTCTGAAGTGGAGCTGTGGTGTCAGTGATAGAACACTAGCTTCGAAGACAAAAAACACAAGGACAGTGCCCAAGCCCTGAATTCAAGCTCCAAGACTAAGACTAGAACACATACATACATACATACATAAGCAAACAAATAAAGCATCCAACAGCACCCAAGGGCCAGTTCCAGAATTCAGAAAATGCAAGACTTTTGAGCAGCTTGATCCTTTTCTAAGGGACTAAATGGGCCAGGGTTAAACCTGACTTGCAGGCTATAGAAACATTTATCTTGGAGTTTAAAGAAAAGAGGAAGTGGCGCTGTGGCTCAAGTGGTAGAGCACTAGCCTTGAGCTGAAGAGCTGAGGGACAGAGCCCAGGCCCAGAGTTCAAGCCCCACGACCAACAAAAAAAAAGAAAAAAGGAAGACTGCCATAAGAGGGTTAAATTGTGAGCCTTTCCCCTCCGGAGATCAGAGTCCACTCCAGGCAAGTCTGACTGTATGTGAGAGCTCCCCTTTCGGGTCCCCCACACACTGCACCATTCCTTCCGCAGCCTGCAGTCTGCCCAGACTGTCCCTTCTGCCTGCTCTCTCTTCCTCTGACGGATAGCTCTCATCTCTCAAGAGTCCCAAAGAATAGCCAAGTTAGGGAACCAACCCAGATGCCCTACAATGGATGAGTGGGTCCAAAACATGTGGTACCTATACACAATGGAATTTTACACTCCCATTAGAAATAATACTATTATGTCACTTGCAGGGAAATAGATGGCTCTAGAGCCAATCATGTTAAGTGAGGTAAGCCAACCTCAGAGGGACCAATGGCGCATAGGTGGAGGCTGGATCTAAAATACATGGGAACATGAAAAATTATACAAGACTCTAGGCATTCACACACAGTGAGCTTAAAAGAGAATACTCTTACAAAAAGAATGCAAAGACACAAAGCATCTGTGCCTCTGATCATATAAAATAACATTTCTCAAAATGAACTCCAGGAAATGAAACGGAGAGTTTTTTTTTGTCTTTGTTGCTGTTTTTGTTTTCTTTTCCTTTTGTCTTGTTGTTCATTTATCTGTCTTTGGGAGGGTAAGGGAAAGACAGAAATGAAGGGACAGAGGGTGAACAAATGCAGCAGTGGCACTCACTAGACACTATTTTGAAAATGAACGCTATGACTTGTGGGTAGGGATGGGAGGGTAAAACTGGGGGAGAGCAATGTCACTGTAACCCCTCTGTACATCACGTTTATAATAATGATGTTTAAAAATTAAAATGATAAAGAAAGACTCTCAAGGACTCAAACCCTCTTCACACCCCCTTGCTAAGATAATGTCCCTCCTATGTGGCTCTAAAGCACTCTGTAATTACCCCATCCTTGCACTTATGTGACTTCGTGAATGCTTTTAAATTATCTCTATCCTGCACAAGAATGTAGGCTGCAGGAGAGCATGCCGATTACCAATCTCGTTCACTACCCTGTCATCCAGAAGCACAATGCTGCATCTGTAGAAGCTCAATAGATAAGGCAGGCCAGACCAATGGATGGATGACAGCTGGGTGGATGGGCGGGTGAGTAGATGGGTGGGTAGATGAGGAGATGGGTGAATGGAGGTGGATAGCTGGGGGGTGAGGGGGTGAATAAATGGGGGTGGGATGGATGAATAGATGGACAGAAGGAAGGATGATTCACATAAACGCAAGCAAGAAAAAAAAGATGAGTGAAATGGAAGACTAAAGACTGGAATGAGAGAGGGAAATCTTGTAGATGAAGATGTCTGAGCAGGACCATTTTCTCCCTCCCTCCTCCGGTCTCCCGCAAATGTCTTCCATGGCTGAACCAGTTTTACAGAGAACTGGCAATGGAGGGAGAATGGAGGGAGAATGAGGGGAATGCAATTCGCAGAGATCAGATCTACTGCAGAATAGAGACACACAATCCAAGGGCAGAGGGCTGAACGTGGAACAGTGAATATACAAGAGAGGCTTGCTGAAGTTTGTCTGAGCAAGGCAATGAAGGGGGAGCCCAGAAACCAAGATTGAGCATGAATAGACCAGCTCAGGGAGAGAGAAGCCACCATTCGAACAGTTAATGACAATTATCTAAGCCTTGAACACGAGGGGGGAAGGAAGGGTGTTGGGCTGGGAATGTGGCTTAGTGTTAGAGTGCTTGCCTAGCCTGCATGAAGCCCTGGGTTCAATTCCTCAGTACCACATACGCAGAAAAAGCTAGAAGTGGTGCTGTGGCTCGTGGTAGAGTGCTAGCCTTGAACGAAAGAAGCTGGGGGACAGCGCCCAGGCCCTGAGTTCGAGCCCCAGGGCTGGCCTAAAATCCAGCTACACTAAAGTAGCAGTTCTCAAGGAGGGATGGTTTTACTACCCCTACATTCCACCCCATCTCCCACCCCTGTGACTTGCTGGATAGAAGACCTTCTGGGCAGAAGACTCCTCTTGCATTTCACTGACAATCCTGACAGATTCCCTCCTTGGGCACAGGGGCTGCCAGGTAGTGTTCAACTCCGCCAGAAAAAGAAAAAAACCCAGGCGCTGATGGCTGGCATCTGTCACCCCAGCTATTCCGGGAGGAGGAGATCTGAGGATCGCAGCGCAAAGCCAGCCTGAGTTTCCAGGAAGCCCAAACGAGACTCATCTCCAATGAACCACCAGAAAACCCACAGGCGGAGCCGTGGCGCAAAGCAGTAGCGCACTAGCCTTGAGCAGGGACAGTGCTCGGGCCCTGGGTTCAAGCCCCGCGACCGACCCAACACCCACACCCGGCTAAGGCTGCAGGAGCTGCGGCGTGCCGGTTCCCTGCGGGCTCTTTTGCCCACTAGTCCGTCTGCACCGCCAGGCGCGGGCACTGCGCTCAGTACGTGCACGCCGCAGCGCAGCCCCGCG